CCGTGTGGCGTTTCTTTCTTCAGGAAGAAGAGCTGAGGAAGAGCGGGGAGGCCAAGTACTTCCACCTCAACGACGACCTGCACGTGCTCATCGAGGTGTTCGCCCCGCCGGCAGAGGCCTACGCCCGCATGGGGCACGCCCTGGAGGAGATCAAGAAGTTCCTCATCCCTGTTGGTACCCTTTCCGGATCGCTCTCTGCGCCCTGCAGCCCTCCCGTGTCTGTCCTCGCCCCCTCACGCTCACCTGTGCTTGTGTTTCCCCGTGGCAGTGGCGTCCAGGGGGCTCAGCCATCCCCTCCACGCTCAGGGTCCTCACCAGGCCCCCAGAGCCACCCCGGGGCCAGGCCCAGCCTCGGGCCAGGCTCCCGCTCGGTGCCTGCGCTCCCTGGTCACAGACAGACCTGCCGGGCCGGGGACGTGTCGGGAACCGGATGAGAGTCGGGCAGGTGACTTCAGTGCCTCGAGGCACCGCGAGGCGGGTGGACGCCAGGAGCAGTGGTTTGTTCTGTTACCAGCTGACAGTCTCTGTAACCCTTTCGGACACCGTGCAGTTGCCAAGAACAGGGTGCTGCAAAGCGAATGTGTTGCAGCCTCCCTGGGAAAGACAGCTTAGGCCTCTGTCTCACGTTGTATAACGTGCCAGTGCTAGGTGAGACGTGGCACGTGGCCCCCTCGGCCCGTGAGACCGGTCAGCGCCACTTCCGCCCCACAGCCGCCGGGTGAGCTCCCCCGGACCCGCGCCAGGGACACCGGCGGTTATCGGGAGTGGGCGCTTCCACCACTGACGTAGAGAGTCAGGGTCTGGGCTGTGGTGAGTACTTCACTTGGGGACTGGGAGTGCAGATCCATTCTCCAGTTCCCCCAAGCCAGTGTGCTCATCTAGCCGTTCATTCGGCTTCCAGACAGCCTTGGAGTGCGCTCCGTGTGCTGGACAGACCCCACTGGCTCATGCCGGCGCCTCCTCTGGCGGGAGGCATCGGGGCATAGTGCCGGAGAGAGCTGTCTCTGTGGGCGGGGGGCCAGCCGCGCCGCCCCTTCACCTCCGGGAGGAAGGGCGGGCGCTGGGGGGCCCTGGGCTGGCCCCTCGCAGTGTTCAGCAGCTCTGTCACTTACGTCTGTGAGTGGGCTGTGCGGTAGGACTAGATCCGCCTGGGCGTGTGGGGTCCCCAGCTGCCCCAACGCCTGTCCGGGGGGCCCTCTCGGGCGCCGGTTGGCCCGACGCCTGTCCTCCGGGGCCGGCCGTCCTCCGGCTTCGTGGGGTTTGAGTCCTGGCTGTGCGACTTCTCTCACTTGCTGCTTCTTTTCCGAAATCTTTTTGCGTGCTCAGGCTCCCCTGCATTTCTCTGTGTATTTTAGGATCAGCTTATTTCTACAAAAAGGCCCACCGGGGTTTTGCCAGGGAGTGTATTGAGTCTGTAGGTTGGTTTTGGGGATAATTTCATCTTAACAATATTGAGTTTTTTAGTCCATTAAAAAGAAATGTATCTCTCTCTCTCTCTTTTTTTTTTTTTTAAACCATTCATTTCAGCAGTGGCTTAGAGTTTTCAGGGTACTTTCTTGTATTTCTTTTGTTAAAGTTATTTCTAAATATTATGTTGTATTATTTCCTGAATTTAACTTACAGATGCTTAAACACATGGAACACAGTTGATTTTTATGTATCGCTCTTGTGTCCTTGCGGCCTTGCCGAATGTGTGTGTGTGTTCGGGGTGGGGGTGTGTGGTCTTCCCACGTCCTATATCTGGATCATGCCGTCTATGGTACAGCTTGACTTCTCCCCTTCCTGCCTGGACGCCTTCAATTTTCCCTTCTATGTCATTGTCCTTTATGGTCCTTGCTGGCGCATTTGGGGGATTGTGGAGCAGAGGTGGGGCTCACAGGTGCCACCCTCCCCTCGTCACGTTCAGCTTTTCACATTCAAGTTCCCTGTGAGCTGAAGGTCTTTCGCGGCTGCCTCGGTCCTTTGAAGAAGCTCCTCTTACCTGGGGATGGGAGTTGGGATTTTTCCAGCGCTCTTCCCGCGCCTGAGGTGCTTGTGTGTTTTTTCTCCTTTATTCTCCGCATAATGGTTTGTGTGTTAGTCGGTGCTCAGAGGTCAGGCCAGCTTTGCGTTGCTAGGTGGGGCCCTCTGGAGTCTGACGAGACCCCCCTTGTATGTCACTAGATTTGGTTTCCTGATGCTCTTGCGGGTCTTTATGCCTCTGCCTCTGCCCGCACCCGGGCTTTATGGTCTTCTGTGCCCGTCTCCGTGTCTGTGGTGCTCCCTTCCCTCTGAGGGTGGAGTTGCCAGGTGATGCCATTTCTCTTCACCTGGAGGGCTGGCATGGGCCTTTCTTATAACCTACATTCAAGAAAGAATCCGTTCTGTGCTTGTCCGGACGGTTTATGTGACACCGGCTGGCACTTGCCCTCTGAGGGGAGTCAGAGGCTGCTGGGGCTTTCTGTCCCTGGGCAGGAGTCGCCGGTCACGCTGTGGTCCTGGCGTGGCCTGGCCTGCTGTGTTTCTCTTCCTGCCGTCCACGGTCCCTTTGATTTTCGGTAGTGGCCTCCTGTGCTTCATTTATCCTCCTTGTTCTTTGAGCTTCGTGGGTCTGTAGGTTTGCGTTTTTCTTCCAGTATGGGAAGTTTTTCCGCCGTGGTTTCCGTGGTCCCCTCCCCAGACCCCGCCCCTGGGAGCCCGCCCTGTGCCAAGCCCTTGAGCTCCCCCAGGGGCCGGCGTGTTTCCCCGGCCCTGTGCTCTCCCGGCGCCTCAGGCTGTGGGTGCCCGGGCCTCTGAGGCCTGGGTGAGCTGCCTTGCTTTCCCCTTGTGCTGGTCCTCCACCTGGGGCGGTTTCTTTTCCTCTTTTCCGACTCCGGCTCACGTTCTCCGTTTGCTCGCGTGGCTTTTACTTGGTGATGTGAAGGCCACGTTTTCGGCAAACTTGTAGCAAAGCTCCATTCTGATTCGTCCAGCCCCACGCTGCTGTTGCTGCGGTTCTTGCTGCTTTTTAGGTAGTTTCCTTGGCCCGAGCCTGGCAGTCCCTCGTGATGACCGCGGGGGCGGCTTTGGAAGGCGTTTCGCTCCCCCTTTGCTCGTGAGCCTGCTTGCTAGGGAGGCTCCTGTGGTCCGTGGCCGAGGGCTGCGTGGCGGCTGCTGTGCTCATGCTCTGGCCGGTGGGGCTGAGGGAGGCTGTGCGTGGGGCTGCCCCACAGACCCTCGCTTCTGAGTTGGCCCTGGTGGGGCCCCCCCAGGGGTGCGGGTGCCCCCTTTGTCTGCAGACTCTGCCCCAGGCAGATGTGTGGGAGCTGCAGCGTCCGCGCTTGGCCCTGCGTGTCCCTGCAGGGAGCTGTGGGAGCTGTCGGGCTACGCCACCCCACCTGCTGGGCCTCCGGGTGTGGACAGTCGGCTCCCTCGGCGTGTCCCTCGCCCACGCCGCTGCAGGGCTGCTGATTGGACTGGTCTTCTCTGTTCTTTTGCAACCAGAACTGCGGCTGACAGTATTGACCGTACTGCTGAACCCAGCGGGTGGCACAAGGCTGCCCGGCAGCTGCACGGGTTTCCAGGCTCTCCTGGCCCGGGGGAGCTCGGGCGTCCTCAGGAGGCGGACGAGGGGCGAGCACCTGCAGACAAGACACCCAGACGCCTCCTTTTCTTTCCTGAAATTTCATGATTCACCACAAATCAACAGTGCGTTTTCAACGTGCTGTCTAATGTCAGTCATTTTTAACCATGTTCAAGCTACAGGGCTCAGCATGTACTGTCGTCCTCGGGGAGAGGCTGAGCTGAGTGCTTGGTGTTTACACATGACTCTAATCCTCCACTCTCCACGGCTCAAGCCAGGGCTACTATTAATGTGATCATTTCACTTTTTAAGATGGGGGAGTTGAAATGATGATTCAGAAAATAGTCATTCAAAGCTGTAGAGCTCATTTGGTTCATAGATGAGGCCACCCTATGTGGTATAGTTTTCCGACTAATTATCATTGTTTCAAATTTCAAGAAAAATGGCGCAGTGCTGATAATATCAGTAGTGTCCATCAGAAGAAAATCTCCTAGGTGTCTTTTATTTTTACTATTTTCATTTTTATGTTACTTATTATTATTGTTGTAATATTTTTACATTATTCTTCGTTTTGCACATTTTTTCATCTCTGTTGTAACCTGCGTGGACTTCCCACCCCCACTTCACCCCTGTGCCGTCCCCAGAGTCCCGTGTGTTTTCCACCCCAGTTTTGATCCTGTTCCCCTCTCCTCCTCTTTTTTACTTCATTACAATTACTATGTGTGTGTGTGTACACACATATACACACACACATACATACATACATATATTATTATGATTTTTTCCCCCTAATCCCTTACATCCCTGCTATGAGTGAAACCATCTGGTGTTTTTCTTTTTCTTGTTGGCTTATTTCATTAAGCATGATCCCTTCCAGCGCCATCCATGTTGCTGCAAATGGCATGCATTCATCTTTTTGATTAGTGAGTAATATTCCGCTGTATATACGTACCGCATCTTCTTGATCCAGTCATCTATTTTTGGCATTTGGCTTGATTCCGCATCTTTCCTATTGTAAATGGAGCAGCAGTAAACATAGGAGTGCAGGCGTCCTTCTGAATCATTATTTTCTTGTCCTTTGGGTAGATCCCTCTCCTAGGTGTCTTGTAAAATCAGTTTACAAGACACTGCCTAACACGGTCTGGGCTTTGCTCTTTGTGACACCCTTGTGTGCGGCTGGGTTGGGGTGCAGGGCTTTTCCTTCAGGGTAACTTGGAGGGGCCTTCTCCTCCCTGGGAGTCTGTTCTGGGACCCTGCAGCCTTGTGTCACAGCAGCCTTGTGTCGCAGCTCCTAACACTTCCGCAGCACAAATATTTAGCAGTCATGTAGCACGTTTTATTTAGAATGTGCTTTACAAATGACTTACTAATCTTCACACGTTTTTGGTGAAATCGTGGGGGATATATTCGTGGGCTTCGTTCAGAGAGATTTGAGATGATGATGGATTCAGATGGCTCCTCCGAGGTCTGCTACACCCAGATGAGCAAGGGCAGCAGTCTGGCTCACGTGAAGTCTAGACCCGAGCCGCAGCGTCTCCGGAGGCCACGCGCCTGGCCTTGCTCCGTCCCCCGCGCCCTGGCCCCCAGGTGACGCTCAGCCCTGCCTCTGTGCTCATGCCCCTGTTTCTCATCCACAGTTCATTCTGCTGCCAGTTTCAAGTTGTTTTTTTTGCGTTCTGCTTTTTACAAGTAAAAAGGCAGAATTTTTTGATCCATGTAATCAATATATGTCATATTTTCATTCTAAATCAGAAAAAGAATCAGCAGAGAGAAGAGGCGCTCCGGGCAGACCAGGGCCCAGCTCCCAGAGGCCGCTCCGCCCGTGCCCACCCCTGTGTGCAGCACACGGGTGAGGGGAGCCCTGTGGGGACCACGCACAGCACGCAGGGCCTCTGCCCACCCCAGAGTCCTGGAGTCCTGGTGTCCGCCCCCTTTCTGGCAGTGACAAGTCCCCACTGGTCATCCCGCCAGAGCAGACCCACCTGCCAAACCAGCGCCCGCAGCCTCCGGCCTCCGGTGCCCTCCGCGGGCGGCGCCCTGGCTCGGTTCCTCTCTCGGGTGTGTAGGGCCTGGCCACGCCTCCCATGCCCTCTTCTCGATCCCCTGCTTCAAGTTCTGGTGGCTGTGGGTCTCAGTGCGTATGTGCTCCACCCCGGTACTCCACATCGACCACACCATCCTCTCACGCTTGCTCACCCCCCTTCTCGCCCGGACCCCAGTGCTCATACTCTTCCGGCCCAGCTTCCTGAGCACCTCCACTCCTGCCCCTCCCCGGCCTCGTGTGCCCCAGTCCAGGTGACCAGGGCTGGGTTACCTGAGAGCTGCCGGCCACACGCCGCCTCCCAGTTCGTCTTGCTCCCGTTAATATCTCTATGGCCCTGTAAGTCACCATAACATTTGCCCCATAAAGCTCACGATTCAGCGGGCATAGTCTAGTCCCGGAGCTCCGCAGCTGTCACCTCCATTAAGCTCGACCATTTTTATGAGGGGCCCCCAAATGAAACCTCTGAATGGGCAGCAAGCGCCCCCATTCTTCTCTCTCCCCAGTCAAATACTGCTTTACGTTTCGTTCAGGGAGACAGTGCTCACACCCAGCGATCCGCCCATTGCAGCTGGACAGTTCATGGAGCTGTGTGTGTTCACCCCCGCGCAGCCGTCTCCACCAGCAGCTGGGGGAGATGGTCATCACTCCCCAAGAAGTGAGCTGCCACGCGCCCCCTCGTCCCCTTGGCCTCGGCCTCGGCGGCGGCTGCTGTCCTTGTGGCTGTGACCTGGGCGTTGCCCAGGGACCACTGAGGGTGTCCGCTCCCCCTTCTCCGCACTCAGTGTGCTGTTTTCAAGCCTCAGTCCACTGGCTTACTGGTTACTGCTAGTCAGGGTTCGCTGCATGACCGGTCCAGTGTATGGGCGTATTTGGCCGTTTGACTTGAGGACTTTGGGGTTATTTCTTTTTAGCTGTTAGGAACGACGTGAATAATGCTGCTGACGGTGGCATTCGGGACAAGTGTTTGCATGCACACATGTTTTCATTTTCTTGGAGATTGGTGTGGACTTTTGAGACTGTGTGGTAGTGCTGCGCTTAGCTTCTTGAGGCTCTGCTGAGTGGCTTTCCAAGGTGGCCGGCCCAGGTTACATGCCCCTAGTGTCCTCGCGGGGTTCCACCAGCTCCACTTCACCGACAGTTGCTTTTGCGCATTTCACTGTGGTCCCGATTTGCATCTCCAGACTGACCCAGGGAGCTGTACCCGTGTCCATGAGGCTTTGGCCATTTAGAAACTTGTAAAGAGACAGCCTATTCAAGTCCTTTGTTCTTTAAACAATGAGGTCACTGTCTTATTGCTGAGTTGAAAGAATTCTTTATATATTCTGGATACAAGTTGCTCTTTGGATTAAAAAAATTCCATTTCATGGGTTGCATTTCACTTTCTTCACGGTATTTTTATGCGTAGCAACCGTTGATTCAGTCCAGTTTATCTACATTCTCTCTTCTGCATTCTTGGTTTCTTATCTCAGAAATCATTACATAGTCTGGAGTCGTGAAATCTCTTCTGCTTTCCTTTAAGTGCCTGTGGCTTTAGCTCGTGCACGTAGGCCCCTCATCCCTTCTGATCCTGTTTGTGTATGGCAAGAGCTGTGAGGGCCCACCCTATTTTTTGTTGTAGATATTTAGTTGTTACTGCACCATCTGTTACAGAGATTATTTGAAAACCATAGGCAGTGATTCATGCCTGGGTGTTCAGTTCGGTTGCATTGATCTTTACATCATCCTTTAAGCCAGTACCACACGGTCTTGAATTCTGTAGCTTTGCAGTGAGTTTTGAAGTGAGGACACGTCAATTTGTTCTTCTTCCTAAATATGATTCTGGCCACGGATCGGGTGGATTTCCATACAGATTGTTGGATTAGCTTGTCCATTTCCGCAAAGGGGCCAGCTGGGGTTTCTTTCAGTCTGTAGATCAATTCGAGGAAATCATTGTCATCCTACCAATATTAGAGCTGCCTATCGATGAGCATTGGGTAGCTTTATATTTATCCCAGTTTATGAAAAAATCCAACAATATTTTGCAGTTTTCTGTGTACGAAGGTAGCTCTTCTTTTGCTAATCTTTTCTTCAGTATGTAATTCTTTGTGGTGCCACTCTAAATGGGATTGTTTTCTTCATTTCATTTCTGGGTTGCTCATTGCTGTGTTAGTATATCAAGCTTGTGTCCTACAACCTTGCTAAACTTGACTACTTGTTTTAAAAATCTATTTTGTGGATTCTTTGTGATGTTACTACGTCACCTGTTAGGCCATCTGTGAATAGAGATTACTTTGACTTTTCCCCTCCAATCCTAGTAAAATCACTTCTTTATTTTTCTTCCATAGCTGTGCTGGCTAGACTCTCAAGTACAGTGCTGGAGAGAAGTGGAGAGAGTAGGCATCCTTGTCTCGTGACTGTTTCTATCATACAGGTGTGTTGAATACGTCGGTCAGATATTTTGTTGATGTGTTCAAACGAGTGTGTGCTTTTTCCTTTTTTCATGATCAACTAGCTGATTTTCGGGTGTTGGCCTGACTTCACAGTCCTCCTATTTCACTGGGCTCTCAAACACGCCTTCTTTTGTGTGCTCGGTTTGCTCTGTGCAGCTGGCCTTGGCTTCTCTATCTCGAGCTTTGGCAGCTGTGGTCATGACCATGCTGTGTATAGTTTTCCTGCGCTTTCTTCATCCGGCTCCAGGCTGCGCTCAGCTTCGCAGGATGGTCAGGAGCTGTAGTCCCTCTCCGCTTTCTGGCGCTGCTTGTCTGTTTGCGGGACCCGCCGTGGACTTCACCCCGAGGACCTTACACGTCCCTTTCTTGGTGAGCCAGACGCGGTGGCCGCGTCCTTCCAGGGGTTGGCCCGCTGACCTCTGCGCGGCCGCTGCTGATCGGTTTTGTCCATCATAACAACCGTTGGGTTTCCCTGAACTGTCTCTCTCACTTTTGCTCTGACTTTGGCTGTGTTTTTCCTTGATTCCCCATGATTTTCCCTTTCTAGCTGCAAAGGTTAACGTGTTGGCCTGGACGGCCATGTTGAAAGCACAGGCGTCGGCCCGTGGCTTCCCTCTGCGTGCTCTCATTGCCGCCGTGCTGTGCGTGTTCCATTTTCAGTGTGAGTCGTTGCCGGCTGTTTCCTAATATTCCTGTGGGTCTCTGGTTTGACCGAGGTTGTTGTGACTGTGCGCACTCACCTCTGCGTGTCTGGGTGCCGCACGCGTCCTTTACTGGACTAACCATCGGGCCTTTTCCCAGTCACGGCCGTGGTGTCCTGGCCCCACAGCTAGTCTCCTGAGGAAGCCCTGGTGCTCCCGAGAAGCAAGCGTTTGCAGGGTCTCGTGTTGTAGCCATCTCGCTTCTGAAGTTTGGTCTGTCTCTGTACACTAGGAAAGCTCTGCCCTAAACACAGACCTTCCTTAAGTGCCTTGCCGCGTACTCATAATTCTGGATGTGTAAAGTTACCTTTAAAATGGCTTAAGGGGGAAGCCTCGGCTTCTGGTTTCCCTTCCACTGAAGTCTCCACAGTGGAGGCAGCCACTGTCCTCTTGGTCATTTGCACCTGGACTTCCCTCCATTATAAAACAGATGGCACTTTGGCTTACTGACTGCACATCTTTCTTGATGCCCACTGAGTGGAGTACGGGATGGTAAGGGAAGGGTGACGATCAAGGATGTCTCCCCAAGCCTCTCAGCTGAATATCTGGAAGTCACCTAAGATAAAGAAGAGCTAGTCTGGAAGAATCAGAAGCTGTGGTCAGCCTCAGAAATGTGGAACTTTGGGGCCTGGATGACAGCCAAGGGGAAACTCC